CTGCACAGATGTCCTGCGATTTCTCTCTGAATGTCCTTGCTTCTCTCACTCTCTCTGTGCTATGCGAAGCTTCAGCTATGACACCTAGTGCTGTCGAGTACTTCCTTGCCAGCACTGTCCACTCTCGCAAGATCTTGGCGCCCAGTAACACAGCAGCACCACTGCATAAGCCAGAATTGAAGAAGAGGCAGATTTGGGCACTGCCCTGCATTTTGCACATTTACCTGGCCCTTCCACGTGACGCCTGGCCCTCTCCTGCCAGCGCATGGCTGACAGAGAGTTAGTCTGTTGTGGACCTTCCCTGGGACTGAGCTGCAACTGGACCGGGACTGGACACGTGTCGACTCCACTACCTACTGACTACTGGGGACTTCTACTGTTCTTACCGGTCTTATCTTATCGGATCTCTATTTTGGCCTGTACAGTACCTACCCGAAGGTTCTACTGCAGCCTGATGGTACGAAGAAAGCGGGACATGTACCGCGGCCGCGGCCGTACTGCAGCACCGCGTAATTAATTTCACATTAGCTATGTGAAGAGAGGTGCTGTTCCAGAATTGAATAACACACTGAGACCTGTTATTTGGGTAAGAGATCTTTGTCATTCTTTGAGTTGAATTACGTGCTTTGACAACGGTGGTGCTCTGCTGGCTGGGTGATGTTGCTTCCCCCTTTGTTTGATGAAGGTGAACTATGGGGACTACCAAGGTGCAAGGAAGACATATGAATCCATTTTGGAACTGGATCCGTACCAGCCAATCGCACTGCAGGTATGACAGCTTAGCCAAGCAGAAAGACGCTGGGGTCGATGAAGTCGACATGCACTGCTATGGTTGGACTCTTCTGATGAAGTTGACATGCAATACTATTTTTGTCCTGGTTATTGGCAGCCTACCTACAATTTTAAAGCACTGAGAGCACAGAGAGAAATAGACTTGAAATTCCCTATGCGGGATCTGAAGACTTGAAATTCCCTATGCGGGATGATTTTTTGTTTGGCTCATGTATTCTGGTTGATGGTCACTTGAAAAATAATCTCGTACCTCATTGCCGTCAATTCTTTCCTTTCTTTTTCCATGTCGACGAAAAGTTTTTAAAACCACCAGTACTTTTCCCAGACATTGTTTCGAAGTTGCGGCTTGCATGCGGCCGCAACTTTCGGGGCTTGGAGGCCTGCGCCGATTCGTTTTTTTTTTTGGCGCAGCGCGTCTCCCGCCCCGGAGAAGGAAGAGGAAGGAAAGAAAGAGAAGAATCAAGAACCTCCGTTGTTATGATCCTGGCCAATTTCGAGATACACATTAATCAGATAGTACAATGCCGTCCACTTGCAAAAAGGAATGAATGAACTTAAGAAGAAGAAAGAAAGAGAAGAAGAAGATGATGTACACCAGCATAGACAAATGAGAAAGCTCTTCTTCTTCGCCAATCACTCTCCTCCTCCTTATCTCCGCCTCTCTTATTCACACAAAAAATAATAACACAATGTTGAATGGCTGAACCCGAATCGAAGTCCGAATCCCTCTTCTACTGCAGGTATCACTTGAGGTCCAGCATAGCCATGGCCGCGTCCCTCACTCTTCCCTCTCATTGGCCGAGGCTATGGCGGACTACTCGGGCCTGGCCTTGATGTCCAAAGGACAACGCAAAGCAGCTATGGCTGCTCTAGCTCAGGCCGCCATGCCTATCTCTGCCTCAAAGCTTCTTGGTGAAGCTCTACCCTCAGCTGGGGCCTTCCTGCTGGAGCGCCCACCAAGGTGATGAAGATGGCTGCCGCAGTAGCCAGGTAAGTAACTCTGGTGCTCCTCCCTTGTCCTGGCCTTCTTCCTCCTCCGTGTCCTTGCTCCTTCCCCAGCAGCGCTGCTGAATGCTAGCGCTGCTCCAGCCAGCTCTCCAACCAGTGCGTTGCCAAACTTGCACACCGACAATGAGGCTGGGCTCTTCGCCAGGCCTGGAGATATAGCGGCCTGCTTGCCTCTTGGGCGGTGACTCCCAGGCCGCTCGGCCTTCCAAGCAACCGGTACCTCCTCCCTTTCGGAGGGAAACATCATTGCAGACTCTGATATTGCCCGTACAGGCCCTGGACTCAGACTGGTTGGACTGGTACCCGCCTAGACCTAGCCTACAACTACTGGGCCTCGAAAATGCCAACTTTTGTCTTCTTCTGCTCGGACTCGAGTACCCGGCACATCTACCTCTTCAGGGTGTGGTACCGGCCTACCTGCTACTTGAGTGTTTCCCCGCTGCTTCAAGTGTCGTGGGCCTCTTCCCCCGCCAACCAAGTGTTTTCCCCGCTGCAATCCTCAATGCCACGGCCACAGGTAAGTACCGTCCCTGAGGGCCCAACGAACGAACAAATGCCCTTGCGGGTCACACACACACTCAAGCCAACAAGCACTCAGACAGACATGCAGACCAGCAAGCGTGCACACATACAGACTTAGAGAACTTAGTAGCAAGCGGGAAACTCAGCAAGGCATTCAGTCCATGAGCAAAACTCAGAAATCAGCTGTGTGTCTCAGTCTGTGTTTGGTCGAGTCATCACACCGTAATCTTGTGCTCCCATCCGTCACCTCAATTTTCTTCCACATCTTATTGTGAGAGTCATATGTGAACGAGTCAAAAATTCACCTAGCATCTGCAGTTAAGTTAACACTCACCCCGCATGCATCTCTCTCACTC